GCTATCTGTGCACTGACTTTCCCCAGTCAAGGGACAGAAAGCTGTCACCCCAGCGGCGCAGCTGAGAAGCAGCAGCAGCAGAACTGAGAGCAAATGCACGAGGCAACGTGATGGGCTTTTTGGTCCATGGAACAAGGTAAGTAAAGATGTATGCCTTTGGGCAGGAAGCTTACTTAGGAATGGGTTGCCTCCAGGCACTTAATTGGGGGAGCTGCTCTAGTTGACCCATAGAACTAGAGCTGATTGATCATTTTTGGGCCATGGCTTAGACGGCCTTTGAGCGTTTATCAGCAATGTCGGGTGCTTTTTAACACTGCACGAGTAGGGCCGAGTCCACCAAGGGCCCGAGAGGGGCAGTTCTGACCAAAGAACTATATCCTGAATATTTTAAATTCTGAATTGTAACCTGTTAACTTCCCTAATAAATTCCATGATCATGAGTATTGTCTGTGAGTTTGGGGTGGCCACTGCCATGAATGGTCAAACCCAGCTGAGACTTAGAAAGTGTTGTGGGAGGGAGAGACGGTATCAGAATTGGTAAGAAGGTTGGAGAGTGAAGGCATGTCTGATGTCCGCCTCATAGGAATCAGTCTTAGGCTGATGTTGAGTCTGATTTTTCTTTCTTCTGGTGAAGTCCAAGGAGGTCACATGCCACAATGCTGCTTCCATACCCTTTTTCCAGCCTGCTTGGACACATAAACTTTAAGTTTGACTTAAGTTCCAACTACCTTGTGATTTTTGATTAAATCTCTGAAATTTTGGATATTTTTGCTAGTATAAACTTGTACTGGAGTCCTGGTATGGTGCTGCAAGATAATGTGCTGGACTGCAAGGTCGGTTTGAGCTACAAAGTCAGCAGTTCTAACCCACCAGTTGCTCCTTAGAAACACCCTATACAGGGTCACTGAGAGTCGGAACCGACTCGACAGCATTTACCAACAACAACAAACTAGTACTGATTATATCAATTAAGTGAAAAACTTTCTTCATACTACATATTCAGTGATTCTCAAAGTGTGGTCCTCAGACCCAGATGCATCAGCATCACTTGGGACTTGGGAGAAGTGAAACCGCAGTCAGACTGAAGCAGAGTATCTGGGACTGGAGCCTAGCAATCTGTATTTTAATAAGCCTACCAGGTGGTTCTGATGCACACTAGCATTGAAGAAACTGACTTTTATAATAATAATTTTTAAAGTCTACATAGAAGAGATTTGTTTTTGATAAGCATGGTGTGCCATTTAAGCGAAGTTCTGAATATGAACAGTTGAAAATAAGCCAAGAGATTGTAGGTTGCAGTAGTAGATTCCCACTGAGTACTAGCCTGCCTGAAACTTTCTGGTAGGAAACAATGAAGGACTGGCCTTTTCCACAACATAATTTCCACAATGATATTGTTCTTCCATATGCGGTTTCTATTCATGATCTGTTTTCCCTCATTTTCTTTGTCCTCTTTAAGGGACAGTTAAGCCAAATTAAAATATTTGATTCTACCTTTCTAAGAATGTTTCTAAGTCTGTACAACCTCATCTACTCAGTCTTGTCTGTTGATTCATACCATCTTATTAAAAGGACTGTTCTAACTTCTGAGGTATATTCTGTATGGTTTATAAAATGATCTCAAATGACTTGGAAGATTTGTTCAGAGAAGTCATTTCCAAACAGTGAGATTATCCAAACTGCCTGGCATATATTGTTGTTAAGTGCCATTGAGTTGATTCTGACTCATAGAAAACTTGAATAGGGTTTCTGAGGAGCAACTTGTGGGTCTGAACAATCCTAACTCCATATGGAGCGTTGTGAGGGGTTGGAATCAAGCCAAAGGTGGATGGTAAGTGAATGGGAAAGCAGATTATGTGAGTCCTTCAGTTAAAAACCTTTGCTGAGCTTCACTCACTGTTAAGGAGATTCAATACATCAGAATTCTTCCAGTATGCTTTGACCACTCCTTTATCTTATTTTCCTCTTTGGCAAAACTGTGCCTACAGTCCCAATTTGCAGAAACCTAGGCCTGGTTTGATATTTGTGTAACTTCCAGTCATCACCCAGCTATCATTTAAGTTTCTATAGCAAATATTTTCATTTCATGGAAACTGGCTACTCACTCATGTGGGTCAAGGTTAGAGAGTGAGTAGGAGAATCACAGGGCTCAGTATCTCCAATGTTAGGAAACTTAGCTTCAGCTTTCAGTGGGCTTGACAAACTTTGCTAGACGAATAATGAGCTAGCCCATAGGCCCATACTGGAGATGAAAGAAGTGAGCGGTGATTCTTTCCTAAATCTGAAATCTCCCCGGGCGTGGTGGATTATCAGTAAACATGGGAGGATCTCTCTTCACTGTTGGCCAGGACCTGTTTAAACCTGAACAAGTGAAAACCATACTGAAATACAAATGATCCTCTGTCCTTAACCAATACCAATCTTTAACAAGGCAGCATGACATTTGCTATTAGCTGGGCAAATACACTAAGACAGTCTCCTTCTGAAAGATTCCTCATCCAGTGACTACTGAACTCCAGGGGAGAAAATAGACCCTAGTTTTACTTGACTATTTTTCACAGGACTTCTTTGTGCATACTATCTATTCCATTTTTTGGGTTTTCATAAAAACATGGGTTATAAGAAAAGAATACAACTAAAAAGTGAAATCTTTAAAATTTCAAACTCTTCTTAGATATTTGGTCACCAGTTCTCTTGGGGAGCTTTCAGTTCTCTTGGGTAGAAAGTACATTCAATTATAGGATATTGTCTAATATTAGCCAATTAGTGGAATTTGCTAATTTGAGTCAGTTTATATTAAACACAATTAATACCTGATTCAAATGGGAGATTCCTTTGCTTGAAAGGAGCAGAACCACATGTTCAGTATCAGAAAAGAATGAAAAAGATTATGCATGAATAAAGGTATATCATTTTAAATTTATTCAACCCAGGTGACATAGATATTCCCCAAAATTTATAAGCTCTGACCCTTTTTGTATCCTTTAAAAATGAATTCATTTGTTTTCCATAGCATTTAAATAAATATATTCCATAATTTAACATAGAATAAGGTATTCACGTAGCTCAGATGTCTAATAATGAGCAAGAGAAGAATTTGAATTGACTGCTTTCTCCAGGTAACATGATAAACTTCAACTATGGTTAAACTCCTGTAGATAGTTTTTAGATAATTACATGATGGTCTCTAGAATTCTTACTCTGAGGTATGGAGTGATGCTGCAATGGCGGGGTTTTCTTTGTAGTTATTTGGTGTATCTGACACATATCACATCTGCTTCTCATTTAATGTGATTATTTGCGTGGCCATTCCTTACCAAAAATCTACTAGCCGTTTGTTTATGGTAAATTATGTCCTATTCTAGGTCTCAAAATTATTTGTTTCTATTTCAAATGTCTCTAGTGTTTGCAGTAGAGACAGATTATTTATATATTACACACACACACACACACACACACACACACAGACTTCAAAAAGCTCTTGGGAAAATTGAATGAAAAAAAATAAATGGATTTCTCCTTCAAACTTTTTTTAGCCCCCTCCTATATATATATAAGCTCATTTACTGTCAAAATCTGGAAGTTCAAAGTTTTGTATAAAAGAAATGTTTACAATTTCTAAGAGGAATTACAAAACAACCAAAGGTTTTCTGCTATGATCAATCAGAGATTATTGCTAATATATTAATCAGAAAGAATGGATAACATTCTTCAATCTAAAGACAAGCAAACATTACTTAAAGTAGATATAAAATTGCCCATCTTGTGATTGTATTTTATGTGTCTGATTGAAAAACCCCAAACACCTCATTTCTGAAAGCTGACCCATTTTCACAAGTTGCAATCTGCTGCAATAAGTGGTGAATCTTATAATCCTCAAAGGATGATTGTGCATAAACTGGATTTTAAAAAACAAAAACAAAACAAAACACAGTTTAGGCATCTTTATTGCTTTCCCATAAAGATGGTGCACTGAATCAAATAAGGACATGTTTCTAAAGACAACCTAAAGACCAATTCTCACCATACCTTCATGGGGGCCAGTTGGATGGGTGTGATGCAGGAAGGGTCTACCATGGGCTTCGGCCTGTTGGCTGTATCTGCTAACAGGCTGTGCCACTGCTGGGGGAGGCCGGTAAATTTCTGTTCTTGTGGATCAAACCCAGTGTGCACCCTGTGTTCAAAGTTGGATGGGCCAGATATTTCAATCTTTTTCTTTTTCTTTCCAAACATGATGCAAAAACCTAAGGAATACAAACAGAAAAGAGGGAGCTCTTTATATATTGCCAGCAGGAGAGCCTAGGAGAATCACTGTTAATTGCATTCACAGTTACACCTTTTTAGTTACTTCATCTGTTTATGCGGCTGCTGTTCTTAAGTGCCTTCTGAGTCAGTTCGACCCACAGTGACTCTGCGTAGGGTTTCTAAGGAGCAGCTGGTGAGCTTAAACCACCTACCTTGTTGTTCAAACCAACTTTGCAATCCAGCACATTAACCCACAGTCCTCTCTATATACTAGATATAAAAGACGAAAACTGAATTTTTAGGGTGTGATTAGTTTTTCCATTCAAGTGTTTTTTATTCCCTCTTTCCTTTCGCTTGCCATGTTCCTGTGTGTGTGTGTGTGTGTGTGTGTGTGTGTGTGTGTGTGTTAAAAGTCACTGTTGTTTAGGGAGTCCTGGTGTAGTGTTGTTGGTTAATGCGCTGGACCGCAAAGTCGGTTTGAACTGCAAGGCCGGTGGTTCAAGCTTACCAGCTGCTCCTCAGAAACCCAATACAGGGTTGCTATGGGTTGGAGCTGACTCAACGGCACTTAACAACAAAATTGACTTTAGACTCAACCGATGCGCTGTAGGTACAAGAGCTAATGCACCAGTTTTGGGTGCAGGATTCTGGAGGCATTGTGTATTTCTTCTTTCCTTTTTGTGTTCTTGCCACTTGTCTTGAAGATCTCTAAGGTAGATGACACTATATCAGTTTAGGTTCCAGAAGGGGAGATTCCAAAATATGTTTTTGGAGTCCTGACCGCTGTACTTGTTGAATGTAAACCTGTTTGGGAGTAGAGTTTTATTTTTAATGCTAATGAGGCCATATCACTATGGTGGTGGTGGTTATGTGCCGTGAAGTTGATTCCAACTCACAGCAACCCTGTATAGGGTTTCTTAAGCTGTAAATCTTTATGGGAGCAGAAAACCTCATCTTTCTCCCATGTAACGTCTGATAGTTTCGAACTGCTGACCTTAAAGCTAGCAGTGTGACTCATAACCATTATGCTACCAGAGCTCCTTCCATATCACTATAGATGTGTCTTAAATCTAAACACTTCTGAGTGATACAAGAAACAACGCAGACACACAACAAACATGCAAGCACAAACTGGAAAAGATAGATAATACATGAAAATCACCTAGGAAGAGACAAAGATTTCCCCTATAAGAGCCAACAGAAGACTTTCCCCTACAACCATTTCCCAAATTATGAGTCTCTTGAATTATGAGCAAACAAGTACTCCCTATAGTAATTTTGCTACAGTGGCACTAGCAAGTGGAGACACCCAGGCAAGCCCAACTTAGCCAGACCCCAGTCAGTGCAGCCACAGCTGGCTTGAGTGAGAACAAACTGTAATCGAATCATTGAGCCTGTAGACAGACTTGTTTGGTATATGGCACTATCCAGACATAAGCAGGTTAGTACAGGTGTGAACTTAAAATACAAAACATTTATGTGGAAAAAATGTGTATACATGAAAACAAGGAGCTCTGGTAATGTAGTGATTATGAGTTGGGCTGCTAATCTCAAGATTAGCAGTTTAAAACTACCAGCAGTTTCACAAGAGAAAGGCTTTCTGCTCCCATAAAGATTTACAGCCTCAGAACCCTGTACAGGGTGTCTATGAGTCGGAATCGACTCTACAGCACATAACCACCATCATATATGAAACTGGGGTTAATAATTATACTCATCTATAAAGTTTAACAGAATAAAGATGAAATGAGTATTTATTTGTAAAGCACATGCTGCTTGCTTTAAACCAATACATTTTGGAGTGATGGTTACATGGAAAAATCAAATACACAAGCAAAGACCTGAATATCACTAATAACCTTGCTACTTCAAATGCTGCTCACTGGAAGGTTAAGGGCCTGGGTGATTTTCAATATCCAGGGTATTATACAAAATAAGTGGCTCTATATGTTACCCTCAGGATTATTTAACAAAAATAAAATGTTAAAAGCCATAACTTGATCAAGGGTTACACTAGTATTCTTTACACATGATGATTGTTCAAAAGAAGACGGAAATTATTTCAGAAAAGTCATTTGTGAAGAGTTCTTTTGCATGCCAACCATAGAGTCTATGGTTCGAGCCCACGAGCAGCTCCATGGGAGAGAGATGAGGCTTTTTGCTCCTGCAAAGATTTAAAACGTCTCAGAAACCCACCTATACAGGGTTGTTACAGTTGAAACGGACTTGATGGCACTTAACCACCACCACAATAACTAAACACTGAAAATATTAGGCCAAATATCTTGAACTAGAATAGAAATGTGCTACTATTTCCTTCCTAATAGTAAATTTCTAATGGTTGCCATGCCATTCAAGTGAAGGTAAGAAACATCATAATATCAGCAAACTGATTTTCCTGTTTTAAAAATAGAGTTGGGCGAGCAAAACAAGCTGAATTCTACCTATGCTATATTCTGTGATAGTTGTGGTTATGTGCCGTGGAGTCGGTTCCGACTCATAGCAACCCTGTACAGGGTTTCCAAGGCTGTAAATCTTTATGGGAGAAGAAAGCCTCATCTTTCTCCCATGGAGCAGCTGGTAGTTTCGAACTACTGACCTTGCGGTTCACAGCCCGATTTATAACCACTATGCCACCAGAGTACGGAACTGTAATTGAAATCTTAATAGAGTTTTACATTGCTAGCAAAACTAGAGTTAGCAACTTAAGGTGAAAATATAAAGGACTCATTAGCAATGGTCGTTGCTCTGTTGGTAATGAAGACTTCCACATCCCGGTGATTCTAAGCCTTTAAGCATCATGGAGCAGGGGGACACATATAGGAAAGTGAAGATCTAAAGATCTGCTTGGAGATGATTTCTTCTCCCTTGTATGTCCATGGTTAGTCTATATATGACACATTGCTAAATATCAATGTACATGATCCCACTTACAGCTCAAAATAACCCTAGAAGGTGTGTTTGGGGTCCTAAGACCACTCCCAGGTTAGATGATTTGCTAGAAGAAATCACAAAACTCAACATATATATTAAATTTCTCACTTGATGTAGTATAGTGAAGGAATACAAAGCAAAACCAGCAAGGGAAAAAAGGAAAAAGGTACAAGGGGCAACCCCTGAGGAGACCAGAAGCAAGCCTCCAATTGTCCTCTCCCAGAGGAGTTACACAGGGTGTATATAATTCTCCCAGTCATGAGTTGTGACAAAACATATGAAACATTGTTTACTAGGGAAGTTCATTAGGGACTCAACGCCCAGGGTTTTAATTGCAGACTGCTCAAGAAGGCACCCTCTGTCTAGTATGTACAAAAATTGAGGTTTCCCAGAAGGAAAACCAGTAGTAAGCATATGCCATATTGTTTGTACAGTTTAGGCACAGTGAATATGTGCCATAGAATGGTGGGGCCCCTCCCAAATCTCAGGTTCCAGATACCAGACAAAGGACAACCTTGCAAGTAGGCCTTATGTTTATTAAGTACTGTTGAGTCAGCTCTGGCCCCTAGTGACCCTATATAGAGTTTCTGAGAAGTGGCTGGTGAGCTTGAACCAGTGACGTTGCGGTTCAAATGACTTTGCAGTGCAGTGCATTAACCCACAGTAAGCAGTTGCCGTTCTGCTATGTTAATGTTTCTAGGCACAAAAACTACTCTCATCTCAATTTTATAAGAGGGTAAACAGAAACTTGAAGCCTAGACCTATTTTAAGTATATCTGAGTATGAATTTAAAAGGTACATATTCTTGTTTTAAATTTTGATAAAATTCAACTTACTGGAGTTTTATGCTGGCATCTTACTCTTTAATTCTTTCATTCAATATATTTACTCTGCACATATTTTGTGTTGTGCTTTGTTGCAGGTGCTTGAGATTGTTGTTGTTGTTATGTGCTGTGGAGTCAGTTCCGACTCATAGCGACCCTCTACAGGGTTTCCAAAGTTGTAAATCTTTATGGGAGCAGAAAGCCTCATCTTTCTCACAGGGAACAGCTGGTAGTTTCGAACTGCTGACCTTGCAGTTCACAGCCCGATTTGTAACCACTACACTACCAGAGCTCTTTAAGTGCTTGAGGTAGCAGTGAACAAATCAGATATAACTGCTGGCATCACAGAATTTAAATTCCAGAGATCACACCAAGTCAATCAAACAGATATGAAGTATACTTTTAGGTAGTGACCAGCACTTTGAAGCCAAAAGAATCAAAGCAAGTAGCTAGAGAGTGATATTAAGTATAATGTCCTGTAGTGTGATGAGAAGGCTTCTCTAAAGAGCTGACATTTGAGCACATACCAAATGACATGAAGGAGCCATTTGAACATCTGGTGAATAGGTTGTAGGTAGAGCAAACATCAAATCCAAATTCCCTGAGGTGGGAGTGTGCATGGAGAAGCAACAGAAAGGTAATGTGGCTGCATAAGGCATGAGGAAAGGATAACAGGTGTAAGGGGTAGCTACGAATTTTAAGTAGTGATAAGAACTTTAGATTTTGGAGCAAGAAAATGCCCTGATTTGACATACGATTTAGATGGGTGTTTAGAGTGAATGTTGCCTAGGGAATGGGACTTGGGAGTAGGAGAGAATTCAGAGCATGATGAGACCCTGGCAGTAGTCCAGGCGAGTTAGGATGACAACCTGGACTAGGGTAATGGAGGTGAAGTGGCAAGATGTAGTCAGACTTGGGGTATATGGTGAATGTGGATTTGAGGTCACTTGTGAGAGAGGAAAGGAGCTATGCTGACTCTACTACAGTCTAATTTATTTGGGTGGAGAATTATGTGGGAAGATAGCTTGTGGGGACAATCAAGACTTCACTAGTGTACATGTCAACGTTGAGTATCTGAGTCATGATACTGAGGAGGTGGTTGTTTCTATGAGTCTGGACTATAAAGAAAGGTCTGGAATGAAGATGTGTATCAACATGCATCCCCTGACTCATGGCAAACGCATACACAATGGGACTGAACTGTGTGAGCCATAGAGGTTTCAGGAGCGGATTTATTTATT